CTTTTATTTTCCCTACCCTATATCAAAATGGGATTGGTCAATTCGACCGACCTCGTAACCATAAAAAAAATCTAAAGAAATCTTTTTCTTTCTAGAATGACTTTAAATTGTAATATGAAACTACATTCGTTTATCTCAAGTAGCTCTAAGTTTGTAACATTATACATCTAATTATAATTAAATTTTACTGTTTTATTGCCCTTTCAACTGTGTCTAACTACTATCCGCACCATTATAAGTTGTAAATCACTTGGGGAATGTGTAGCTCATGTTACGCTATCGAAATACATTACCCACGATCTACTCACGTGCGTGCCTCGTGAACCATTTTAATTATATTATTATTACTAATTTTACCTAATCTAGTCTTAAATAACTTAAAGAAATCCATATTTTTATATTTTAGTTACTTTTATAATAATAAATAAAGAATAAATATGAAAAACAAGAAATAAAGTATTTACCTAATCTTCTTTTTTCTTGCCCTTGATTGTTGAGGAGAGTTAAGCCTGATTTTTTATAGTAAGGCACTTAACAATTTTTATTATAATTAAATAATGCACGAAAGAATATAGACTAATAACATGCAAAAAGTAGACAAATTCACTTACCTCTCAAAATTTTCCTGGCTTTCTAACTATGCAACAAGAGTCGTTACAAATTCATCCAATCTAGTCGTTAACTTTCCCATGGGAACGATGTTGCTACTCTCAGTGAAATTGACGATTATCTGTTCAGAACACAATATTATACAATATGTCATTTGACTTTCTATTTGTTATAGGTAGTATATAATGAAACGTAAGAGAGAACTATCAATGAATGTGAAAGAGAGGATGTGGCAGGAGGGGCATGATTTACTATTCGATAGCTCTGTAACCAAACAAAAATTGAAGGCTATAAAATTATAGTTTGTTTGAGCAATAACGATTTTATAGAGAGTATTTTATGTTTAATGACATGCTTAGACAAAACATATCACGTGGGTCACACTAGTGGAAATTCAGGATTTTTAAAAAATATTTCCCTGTAGAATT